TTTTTTCTATATATTTTTAGTTGTCCGATTAATTTCTTTCTATTTTTAGTAGAGACGGATTCTCGCTCTTGCTCAGGCTGGTTTCGAACTCCTGAGCTCAAACAATCCTCCCGCCTCGGCCTCTCAGAGTGCTAGGATTACAGGCGTGAGCCACCGCACCCGGCCCTATTAGAAGTCTTAACTTTTAATTTCCTTAATCAAAACACTTATATATTTGTTCAAAATGACATAAACATCCTTCAGTGGAAAATGTTGATAAACAAGCATGCCAAGAACCTAGCATATAACCATCAATCAATAAGTACTTGTTAAAGAATTGAGTTTAGGAGTGTAATATTCTTAAAAAGTTGTGAATTAAGTTAAGAACACTGAAAATGGGGTTTCTTATTAAAAAGGAATAAACTTGCTATTGGGTCTACATTTTAACAGTCTGAATAAGAGGATAGGCATGTGGGCTTACACTTAATATTGAAGCGTATCTGCAGAAATCTAGTTCAGAAGCTTCTTGAAGGCAGGGATTCCATTGTTGTTAGTTTCTACAAACTGGTAGGCATTCAATATATATTCTTGTCAATGCATTAAAGTGTCAACAATTGAAAGCTATGGTCACTTGCTACCCATTAATAATAATATTTAATTCTCAGATATATTCAAAGAAAAGAAAAGCACCCACTGGCTATTCTTTTGGAATACGTACATTTTTAAAAATTGTTATTTTGTATTGCCTCTTGGATCTTCCCTTTTTATTTCTAGACCACCTGTTCAGAACATTGCTTACAGAAATATTTAAAAATGACACAAAGAATATCCATGAGATTTCAGGAATATCATATTCAGCAGAATGAAGCTCTGGCAGCCAAAGCAGGGCTCCTTGGCCAGCCACGATAGAGAAGTCCTGATGGATGGACTTTCGATGAAAGATTGCCAAGAGCTGCTGTACTGGAAATGAGGAGTCATCTGATAGAACCTCCTGAAAGCAGTAGCCACCATGTTAAACCATCTGTCGTGACTGTTTGGCAAATGGAAGCCACTGGAGAAACAAAATTGCTATTTACCAGGAATAATCAAAATAGAAGGTTTTATTATTCAATGAAAATAATGAGATGCAACATGTATTGAGGCCTTAAGATTCAGCAGCTTGGTCACTTGATTAGAAAAATAAACCATTGTTTCTTCAGTTGTGACTGTTAATTTTAAAGCAAAATCTGTGTTCAATCATGTATGAGATAGAAAAAAATTTTTATTACTAAAAGTAAAATAAATGGAAATATCACTGAGCAGTTGTTTATACTATATAGTACCATAGTATTCTGACTGGACTGTGGATACGTTGAAATGTTTTTCAATCAGGATCGTCCTCCAAGTATTCCTGTTCATTCATGTCTGCCTCAAATTGCTGGTAAATACATAAAATAGTTACTTGATAATCATTTCAATCCACAATCCTTTTTCTGCCTCCCTTGTGTCAGGGTGAGCATTACATATTCCTATCCTACTGACATTTGCATATATCTTCAGGAAACATCCCATCTGTGACTAGCTTGGGAATGTTTAAGAGTTAACTGTTATGTTCTACTGGAGTCTGTTTGTGTTTTGTTCAAAACCTGAGTCCAGTGAATGATTCTGAGTCTGATCGACAATATACAGTTTATTCTTAGCCATGACATGGGATCAGTCTAATAAAAAGTGAACCGAAGTTATAAAGTAATGTCTTATGACTAATGAATCCTGAAAGAAATCCAAGCATTTGTAGGAAATTCTAGTTGATGCATAAGTATACCAAGCAGTTCAGTAAAATGTAAGTGGACTGATACCTGTTAATGAACTGGCTTATGAATGGATTTCATTTGATACCAGTCTAAACTTGTATTTAAGAGAACACTAATTAGCCTGTATCCTTATATTTATCAAAGTGATTTCTGTGTTTTGTATGTTAATAGAAAGCAGAAGTATTCTACTTTAAAGTCGAAGTGTTGAAACGTATAATACTCAACAAAATATACAGTTCATCATAGTCAAAGGAACATGAAAGAATAGGCTTGCTTCATCTTAAAGCAAGAAAAGCAACCAAAAATTCAGAGATTGCACTCAAAATTTTAGCCAGTTCACACACATACTTTGCAATTTCTATATAATCAAGCCCAACTTGGTTGTTCATCACGTACATTTGTCAAAGATAATTAAATATGTGCTCACCTGGCAAATAAGAGGAATTTTGTGCAACAGCATCTCAAATACCTTGGGAGGGAGTGTGTGTTTGAAAACCTTCAGAAGTTCCCGTGGTTGCCCACACGCTAAAAGGGCATTGCTGAGGTGTTCAACCCCCATTCTGTGTTCTCCTGAAACAGATTGGTAAGTTTTCAGCAAAATTTTAAAGTTCTTCAAAATAGACATTCTACAAATGACCAAGAAAGCAACAAACTTTAAAAATTAAAAAGCATATCAAACTAAAGGCTATATGGACAAGTCTTGTGAAGAGTAGAGTACAAATGGGGGAAATGTTGAGCTTCACCATGGTGAAGCTGCAATATGAATAATTTATGAAGCAAATTACAGTAAGTGTATTCTTACACTGTTTAGAATTGCATTCTTGCATTGGAAAATTTCATGTCCTGCAATTTGGGTATATGAGGGAGAGGGTACTGAGGGTTTTTTTTTTTTTAAAGTGTGGGCTGCTTTTATTAAGATAACCCACGAGCTGGGTTATCTTTCCATGTGTGATTGGTAAAATATTACCAATGAAACATCTGTTCTAGCTAAATGAAACTTTAAAAATAGATTTCATTATCAGAATTGAAACAAGATTTAATGTAACATGAATTATATGTCCAGAGGAGGAAAACAAATTTATGAATTATGATTTCTAAGTTTTAAAATGAGTTTTAGGATGATTGGCTATGAAGAAACAAGGAATAAAAATTTGTGAAGAGTACAAATTAATCCTAGCATTTCTGTTTAAGTTAGAACATGGAATGACTTAAGTCTTACTCCCTTGTTTTACTTTTAGGAAACCGAGGCAAAGATTAGTGAAATGATTTAAGGTTTCAAAGCTAATTAATGCCAGAATTAGGAATAGAACCTAATTTTCTGATCACTGAGACTAGAGTACACTGCCTCTCTTCTGGTATTATATAATCATAGAAATTGAAATTTTGACATACTTCATATAACTAGGTAGGAAATATACTTCACTACAGTTAAATATATAGGGTTCTTATGAACTGAAACTAATTTTCCATTTATTCGTTCAAATACATCTTCATATGAAAAGTACATGACAGAAAAAAATGTTTTCCAAAGATTTGTATTAAGCTTAAACTGAAAAACCTTAAGGGACATGACCTGACTTAGATACACAAAGCAAGGTTTCTCAATATTATGTAGATTTTAAGACTTGGGTTTTGTGTCTATCTAGTTAGCTAATTTTACATTTTCAACATGAGCAATTTTCATTGCTGAGTTTTTAGTAATGTATTTCTCACACATTTAATAAGAAGGTATTTCTCACATGAAATACCGTACTAGTATTTCACTAAGGTTTATTTGAAATTAACAATATTATAGCTTCATGGAGCTGATACGATTTGGTCAATTAAGTAAACCAACCAATAAATTCAGTCACACTAGCTCCTTAAAATTTCAGTCTAAATTATTGGGCCTACGGTCCCTTATAGACAGCCACAATTGAGATGGCTCTAGAACTACATTCTACCTGATAGCAAAGAAATGAAAATTGGGGAGATGGCAAAGGGGAATGGAGAATGTTGAGAAGATTATACAAAACTGGGTGAAAAATTACCACATTAGAATACTACACTGGTTCTCAATGTTGGATTTATATTGTAGTAATCTAGGGAAATTCTTAAAAATATGCCTGGGGTTCCACCCCATCTGATTTAATTGGTTTGGGGTTTGATGGAGATTTAAAGAATAAGTAGCCAAGACTGAAAACTGCATTAAAATTATATAAGTAAGTATATAACTCTTCCTTCTAAAATAACAGGATGATAAGAAAAAGTATATAACCCTTAGCTAATGAATCAATTTAAGGGTTCACAGAAAAAAATGTTAGCACCTTTGAGAGAAGAAAAAATTTAAAAACCCAACTTTGCAATGTTCTAATCATCAAAATATTTGTAACTTATCCACCTCTAAACCTAAACTATTACATGATAGCGCTTAAACATAAAGTGAATGGGGATAAAATATTATTTTTTCCTTTGACTTATAATTCAGAATTTTCTTCCCTACCTATATACTACCCAATTCAATAAAAATTAAAGTTGATGGCCGGGAGCAGTGGCTCACGCCTGTAATCCTAGCTCTCTGGGAGGCCGAGGCAGGCGGATTGTTTGAGCTCAGGAGTTCGAAACCAGCCCGAGCAAGAGTGAGACCCCATCTCTACTAAAAATTAGAAATTAATAGGACACCTAAAAAATATATATATATAGAAAAAATTAGCCGGGCATGGTGGCACATGCCTGTAGTCCCAGCTACTCGGGAGGCTGAGGCAGAAGGATTGCTTGAGCCCAGGAGTTTGAGGTTGCTGTGAGCTAGGCTGACCCCACGGCACTCTAGCCCGGGCAACACAGTGAGACACTCTGTCTCAAAAAAAAAAAAAATTAAAGTTGAAAGGTTTTATCTATTTTAATTGACCCTATATCCAGGAAGTATCCATATCTAGGGATGAATCCAGGTTTTGTGAGGCCCCTAGCTTACAGAATTTGAGGGCCCTGTTTAAGAAAAAGAATATTACTCTTGTATGTGGTTTGTGGGTCAAAAAAACAAAAGAATATAAAATTATGAATACAAAATTATTACTAGGGGGCCTTGGATGAGGCCTGTGCAAATGAAGGTCCTTAGTTTAAGTTTCATTAGCTGTGTAAAGTCATTCCTGTTGATATCATTTAAGTCAGTTCTAACTATTCATTTTGCCATAAATACTTGGCAGATATATTTAATCCATTTAAAAAATTACTCCATCTAAAAGCAAAGATCAGTACTCCATAAAATACTAAAATTTCAAATTATAATTAATGTGCAATGATTTTGAATGGCTGCAACTTTTTTCATTTCTCAAAACCTTTATATGGTTTTAAGTCATTGAATAAAGTAAAAATCTCGGGCATTGCTGTTGCTGTGAGTTGTCTAGGTTTGTGACTTCCTCTTTGTTTTTATAAATCCTGGAGGGTGCTACCCACTTACATACAGGTTGAAAAATTCTTTTGAAAAAAGACAACAGAAAGGCAAAATCAGGTACAGGCATTGTGATATGCACAGCAGTTTGCAACATTTAAAAAAATACAGTACTTGATGGGTGTAATGCTGATTTACCAGGAACATCAGTCATCCCTTACATTAAGAAGTCTTAAGACAAAGTCTTTTCCTTTCCAGGGTTCATCACCAGAATAAGAACATTATGATTACTATATATAATATTTATACATACATACGTAATATATATTATCTACCACCAATATTGACAGTATTGTGAAGTTTTGTCAAATCCATCTGGAATTAGGTGGAAATAAATTATAACTCAAAATATAGTTTATGACCACTAAGTGTAAGGTAGCCCCTACAGGCATCACTACATTAAACACCGTACAAGAATGGTCGTTCATAATGATTTTACCAACAAAAGTAAGTATTTTATTAAGAATATTCTAAGAAAGGCTGGGTGCGGTGGCTCA